AAAATATGGGAGTGAAAATAAAAGAGATTGTTTGATTGAGAAGAAAAAAAGTAGAAAAAAATTAATAAAAAAAAAAGTGATGAATTCTACATTTTTATTTATTTATTTTTATATATCTTATTTTTCACATATTCTTTTTCAACTAATTTTTTATTTTATTTTTTTATCTATTTTTCTTCACTTTTTATTTATTATTATTCTATTTTTCACATATTTCTTTCCTCTTTATCAAACACAAGTTAAGTGTTTAAAATATTTAGATGTTTAAATATTTTTTCTTTTTTCGTAAAAAACACTACAAGTTAGAGATTAATTTTTATTTTCAAAAGATAAACATTATTAAAATGAATTTTGTATAAGACAAAAATATTCGCCATACATACATAAAGGTCAAGGACTCAAAATCTAAAATATCGTCGAAACTTAATATGAATTTGAATATATATATATATATATATATATATATATATATATATATATATATACTTTGTCGATAAGAGACACTGCACTCAGTCTTTTAAGAATTATATTTTTAATATTAGTAGTAGAAGTATCTAAGAGCATCTGCAATGAGAATTGCTTATAAGCAACTCCTTGTGGCACATCACTGCCACATTAGCTCTAGCCCACTTTATGGGTTGCTTATATTTTAGCAAAGTTGCTTCTACAAGCAACTTTGCTAAAATTTAAACAATCCAAAAAGTGGGTCAGCTGATATGACAGTGATGTGGTACAGGAAGTTGCTTATAAGCAACTCCCATTGCAGATGCTCTAATGAATGTAAAGATTATTAATACTTGTTATTGTTTTGTATTAACGTATGGACTTTATACGGTTCTATTTTAACATATAGTCCATTTTGTGTTTAGGATTCGAACTTTAAATAACTTTATTAAATTTACCACGTGTGCTAACAAGGTGATAATTCCCTATATATCTTTCTTTCTATCTCGTTATAACACTTACTATACGTATATTTAGGGGTGTGCAAAAAATTCAAATTGATCCGAACCGATCCATAACCGATCTGATTCATATTGAAAAATCTGATCCATTTTATAAAAAAAATCCGATCGAACCACTTTATAAAACCGGTTCAGTTATCTGATCCATTTTTACAAAGTGGATCGGTTCGGTTCGGTTTAGTTTTTTAACAAAAACCGATCCATATATAAGTAAAAAGTGGATAACTGCACCGCACCGAACCGATCCAATTTTAAAAAAACCAATCTATTTAAAAAAAACCAAACTAATTCACTTTTATAAAATGGTTCGGTTCGGTTTGAATCGATTTTTTCAAAAAATCGATCTATGAACACCCCTACTTATATTTTTTCTCTCTTTCTTTTTTTTCTCTCATAAGGTGTTTAATAACATTAAGATGTCGAAAAACATTTTTTGTTCGGTTTAGTCCTATAACTACTTTTTAGAGCTATTTTCATAGTTAAGGAATAATAGGAGAGGGTGGGAAAATGAGATAAGTGATATGACGTGAAAAGAAT